TTGTGGATATCAAAATTGCATGACAATGTCGATCTGAAGTAGATTCCGGCAAAAAATATCCTATATTTTATAATAATAACGTGTTTTTCATGAATTTAAGTTGGCTATGCTCTAACCTGTGTGTGACGTCATAGCGGGTTACGCCCATGCATTGAAAACCATGGATCTATGCCACAGGACTGCCTTTTCTCTCTTCTCTCCACTGATGCCCAACACAATACTGCCCTCTACAGGTGACAATTGCTCACTACACATAAATTGCCGTTTTGAGAGTGAGAATGTGTCTGAGGTGGGATTTGAACCCCAGTATCTAGATCGGCAGTGCATCGACACAACTTACAGCGTACCCACTCTGACGTCACCAAGGGCTGTGAAGTTTTTTCGTCTCTAAGGGCGTTGCTATGGGGTTATTTCGATTTGGGGGGATCAGACAAAAAAAAAACAACTGATTTTGAAACCTTTAGTAGTTCTCTTCTAATATAAAATGGTATTAAAACTGTATTTCTAAATAAATCAAACCCTGCATAAGGTCTTTAATAGCATGAGCCAATACAATAAACCAGCCAAAGCTTTACATATAAAACCACATTTGATTTGATGCAAAGTTCCTTTGACACATGTTTGGAGAAGTGGACGTTACTCCACACATGAACAGATTCTCTTTCAGCCTAGAAACACACTTACAACATCATCAATGGCAACATTTATTCAGGAAGCCCGGTCTGCCCACTCAGGAAATTCCTCAAGACAAGAGCTGCTTCCAGGCGCAGGAAATTTCCCCACTAAAAAGCCCAAAAGACTCACAACATGCTGGACTCCATCTGCCAGAGGAGGACATAACACTGAGATGGATTCATTTCCTGGAGGCCGATAAACCATAACAAGCCCTGGATTCAACATTTGAAAAAGCCAAGGCCTGAGAAAAGACTTACAATAAAGCGTGTTGTACTCAAATGGTTGTGTCACAAATACACTCGCACACACGTGCACACACACACACACTTGGATGGACTTCAAAGTGGTACATTTCTCATAATGTACTTTACGGACACAACAGTGCAGCACTCAGGTCACTTGGAATAAATCTGCTTACATGATTTCAAAAACAATTAAAAGGGATCAACATTTGTCTTGAGGTGATATTCTATACTGTTACTAGGGGGAAACGCATGTTCATCCAAAAACACTGCACAAATTGTGAGACAAAGCTACAGGTTCATCCATTACGTTTTTTCAAATTAATGCATTTTTGTGTAGCCTTAAATCCCATCAGGAGACAGTGGACGTTACAACATTGATTCTATAATCTTTTGTGGAGAATTGACAAACATTTACAGGAAAGGGTTAGCAATAATACCAATACACAAGAGCTGTTTGGCCATTAAAGTTAATAAACGTGCATAAATGTCCATGCATGGAGTTGACCGTATTTCTCATAATAACACATTAAAAAGATAGTATTCAGTAGCACATGTGGAATGAATTGAATATACAATGTACACCTACACACGCTGTGGATTCACACAAGATTTAGTCACTCCTCCACCCACTGCAGCCTGCCGAGCCAGCTGTGGAAAGACACACATACCTACAACGAAGCAAACCAGCCCATCTTGTTTCCATGGCTTCTAACTCCGCACTAAAGATATAACTAGATTTTCAGACAACCTATTCTGTGCAACTCAAGTGCTGTCATGGGAAACAAAGCAGGACTCCGGTGCATGACTGACACTGTCAAATAAAAGGAGCATTCTACTCAGACAAATCTAAATTATGGGTGTGACGAGTCAAGACGTATTACTAACTTCACACGCCTTGATAGAAATATCCTCATAGTGATTGTGAGTCTTGTGATTTTTTGTTCTTGATTATTACGAGAAAAAAAGATTCCCTTCATAAAGGCATGAAGTAATGTGTAGCTACTGTATAGGAGCTTTGTAGAATGCCTGGGATAATGTATACAATTGTGAGATATAATAAACAGTGTCCTTGATAGAGGATCAGGCAACAAGTTTATCCCAGATTGAATCCACTTCCTCAGCAGGAAATGGTGGCTTCTGCCCACACTGCAATTTCCTGCCTCAGTTTTTTCTTCTGGCTCTTTTCCCTCCATCCCCTTTTCCTTCCCACTCCTCCCTCTGGACTTTAGTGTGTAAGGATGTGGAAGTGTGGGTGTTGAGGACGAAGCCAAGACACAAAAAGCAGAGGTGTTTTGAAATGCAAAGGAATGTCACTTAGGCCTGAGAGCATTATGCTGATGGACCAGAAGAAGATAATGTCACTTCTATTCTATATGGTGAGATAAGAGAACATGTATTTGTCCAACATTAGAGCAATCTGTTATGTTATAAATAAAAACAATACAATATATATTTCAATTATATGTCAATTGACAAATTATTTTGAAACAAAAAAATGGGACTTTGTACAATTATCTATGATGTGAATGTTGTTAACTTACTACTGTCTATTAGGGAAGGACATATAAATCTTTATGATTCTGCTCTGCTGATTGCCGACAATCTTTGATCAGGGAAAACAAGGTTTGCCACTGTCAGAAGTATTAAAAACTTGGACGACTTATGGGACATTATTGCCTCTGTCAATGTCTCAATAGTTAACTGCAAAAATGCAACAGTAAATGCCTGATTCCTGATAGATAATATTTTCTGAAATTGACATACTTCTCCGACCGTGGCACACTCTAGATTCACTTTTCGCGGGAAAGGTGCACGTTTGATGCTCCCGTAGGGCAAAAAGGGAGGCAGGGAGGCCCAGGCCTAAATCTCAATATTGTCTGAAAGCCTGAGTTGGACTCGCTCCATTGTGGTTCAACCCAGAAGTCTGTGATCAGGAAACTCAACACGGACCTGATGTAGCTACTTCCTCTTTCTGTAACAATGTAAAGAGGAAGTGAAGCGAGGGGGTTTCCTGTGCGCCTCATCCACAGCCCTGAACTTCTCCCTTCACGTTGGAAAAGATAAACAACAAAGTTAACTATTGACGGCAAGTGGAAAGTGGTGGGAGGTTAGTCTTTGGACAGAGTTATCTATCTCTTGGCAGGGCTCCAGCCCCACCTGCTCTGGGATTGGTTAAGCAATAATAAACAAAAACTTAAGAGTCACACAACCCAAAACATTTGTGAAATAAAGAATCATAAAACTTTAGCACTCCAGTTCATTTTGCATCATTGACAAGCTGAATGACTAATGGAATATATTAGTTAAACAAAATTTAATGTAAATGATTCAAATTAATAGAAAATAACTAGAATGGGGGGAAACTGACCCTCTAGGCTTCCATTTCTGCAAAACATCCTCCAGCTCTGCCACTTTAATTATCACTGTTCACATTGGTTAGGTTAAGGAACATGTCACAGTCCTCTGCCTTTCACACATCTTTCTGAGGCATTTCAGAGGGTATTTATCCATTACACTGCAACAAAAGTTATCTAGAAAGATGTATAAGATCTTTGAAAACATGTGACCTCTGGTGTAGCCGGTAAGATAGTTACCCAATGCTTTTGTAAGGCTTCTTCTTTCCTCTCAAAAACGATTCCCAGGATGGTCCAAAAGTCAGCTCTTGGCCCAGATGTGTGACAATAATGAGGTTTTTTTGTTGGACCAGTCTAGTTTAGCTGCTGTGGACTTCAGACGGTACTCATTAAATGAATGGGGCTAGTGCCAGCTAACACATGGGCAAATGCATTTTTTTCCCCACATTTTTCTGCCCCACGGCCATTTTGAAAAAAGCCCCACAGAACGGCAAAAGTGGTGTCACATTAGTTTCAATGGTGGAGATAGGCGTGACTACATCCGTTTATATTTACCGTCTATCCATCAAAACTAAATACTGGCCTACACTGCACCTAAAAAATGTCCATTATGTATTATTGTTTTTCATTCATAATTGTACTACCCTCCGCCACAGTTATTCAAAGTAGAAGCAAATTTCAAGCAAATCAGTCATTTTTCACTGCGGCAGGTCGGATAGCATGACCAAAGAAGTGTACAAAATAATTAGCAGTAAAAAATATATATAGCGCCTCTTGTGTGATCAGGTATGAGGATAGACTGAGTATTAAAGTGGTAAATCACAACTTCTTTACTCATTCACGTCTCTGCTCATTTGAATAGCTGTCCATTTTCTCTTTCCTTTACTGCAAAAAGGGGAAAAGCAAGCAGATTTGCAGCGAAAGCAAAAGTAAAGTTGTCTGCACATTTGAGCATAACAGACTTCAATGATTCTTACTAAATCGGAGAGTATTGTGTTTACAAAACAATTATTAGACAATTATTGTTATAACGTCTGAAAAACTATTGCGTTTATGCATAATGTCTTTTATGTACTTCCTGGTCGGAAGTACATAAAAGATATTATGAGATCAGGTAAAGCCAAGTGACCAAGCAATCAGATGCCGAACATGTGTTAGTCCAATGTTTATACGTCTTGATTTTGTGCTCATATGTATTACAGTACATCGTTACAGGTTGCACCACCTCCATATGAAAGCCGGAACAGGTCTCAGAAGCTAAGTAAGGGAAAGCCTGGAAAGTACTGTGACGGGAGACCCCTGGGAACAGCAGGTGCCACAGTTGGGCGGCTACAAAGTCTATTGTGTGCGCGGATGGCAGTGGTGGTCAGAGTGTCCTTTTTTGCCGGCATGTGATGTATTGTCATCGTGCGCAGTGTATGCCACTACTAACTATACTACAGGCCGGCTAAATCCTCTTGAAGCATGCATTGTTAAGAGTTTATTGTTTATCATCCATATATGCGTCCAAATGCGCTAAAAACGAGGGTCCATCCGCATAAAAAATGGGATGGCAGTCACACGTTAATAAGAAAGAGTAAGGAAAGGAAAATATTGCTACTTTGATAAGCCCTTTTAGAGTTTTGCATTTTTATATTAGGAAAGAATAATCCAGGGGGAGTCTGTTGGCTTAAAAATCCTTATCTCAGTGGAGCTAAGTGGAAGCGTGTGCAGTGGTGTGACTTACGCAGGTGTGCCGGCAGCCTGTTGGGCTCTTCCTCCATTCGGCTGGCTGGCCTTGAGGTGGGAGCATGGATGGGGGAGGAAGTGGAGTTTGGCAGCGGGTTTGCGGAAGGACTGAAAGAGCTCCTCTCCTGCTATGAATAGACACAGAGACACAAACAGGGCTCAGATAGATCCCCATGCAGCAGCAGTCGTCCCAGTGACAGTCCACACATCCCATCCCCATGAGACAAATCAGTTTATCACAAAACACAAATTGACACATCAGATAAATACAATGTTGAGCACCTGGCTTAACATATACCTACACACTATGCATGTTATACACAAGTGATTTGTTTGTGAAAACTTATATGGACAAAAACTTAACATTGTTTTACAAAATAGATCATAAATGTAAGCATGCCTGAGGTGAATTCCACAAAAAAGCTTTCGGGTTTATATAAAAGATCTAGAACAAAAAAATTATGTTGTATAGTATTTTTATGTACATCAACTCGATACATTAAATTAATTAAAAGTCAATTTTAGACAATTGCCATGAAATGTGGACTTTGTTACATTCCATAGACATTATTATCACATATTATCATCTGTCTTTAATGCATGTGTAATTGTTTGCAATTGTTTACAAACACTAGACTATAGTGATAGAAGCAAACTGTTTTGAGAGTGAAGAACTGGTTATGGATTGTATTAAATAAATTGTTTTTGTGGTTTCAAAGTGAAGCCCTCCAGATTTACGTTGTTTTTCCTGTTTATTTGTGAGAAGAGAGGCAGACAAATAATTTGTGCCCGCATGCATATGATTCATTTGTAATATATGTAATGCATGTGATATCAAATACATAGGGAAATTAATCTACACACTGTGATACTTTGATAAGATAAACTTTGCTGATCTCACAATGGAGAAATGTATGTCACAATTGGCATAGATAGAATCACTCAGATTGTGCAAAAAGACACGAAGTATGCAACATGTTAAAGGTTAACAATATAGTCTGTGCAGGCTATAATATGTACAATAAAAAGTGGCAATAGCAGTGCTGGTTTTTCAGTCCTAGTGTAGGTCATTAGTGACTTATTGTACAGTCTGACAGCGGTGGTGATGAAGGCCCTGCAGTAGAGCTCCTTCTTACAGTTAGTTTTGGACAATATGGGACACAAGATATGAAAGCTGAATAATAAGCTCAATAGTTGCAATGAACTTTTGAATAATTCATTGTAACAGACACAGCATTATGAGAATACTATTTCAACATCAACTTGATTTCCAATGGCGGCACACAACAATTGGGCATATCCTGATTTTCTATATCTATAATTTGACCCACCCTTTTCCCACACGTTGGAGATAAGATCTCAGAATTGGGAGACAAATGCAAGCTATATAAACAAACAGTATTTGTAAATACACGTGTTATAATGAATACAAAATGTGCCTCACTAAACCAGTACAACCAAATTATATTCGTAATTTTTTTATTATTATTAGTGTAACAATGAAATATATTAGATTATATGTTTTTTATATTTTATATTTAATTTTTTTTTGGCAGATATATATTTTTTTAAATATGAATTATTGTAGATGTTAATGAATATAAAATAGATAGAGTATTGTGTTTTATTTTTAATATTAATGTTTAAAATTAAAAAGTATTTATTAATTGTGATATTTATATTTTTAATTATAATTAATTTTGATATTGTAGATTAGTGAGATAATTACAGTAATTTGTATATTTGAGTCTAAATTTATTAAATAAATTTGTAATAAAATATAAAATGTTTATTTATTTATATGTATAAAACTTTTAAAAAATTTATATTATGGAGGTGTTTAAATTTAAATTATTAATTATTATAAGATTATTGATTATGCAAGAAGTATGGTGAGGTTTAGATTCTTCGGTTTAGTGTTAGTTTGAAGATTGTATAGATAGAAATTTGAGGATTTTAAATAAGTTCGAGTTTTGTTAGTTAATTTATTATGAGTATCTGCGGAGTATGTATATTTATATATTTATAATAATTATATTTATTATTTTATATAATATTATAATTAAATATTTTTTTATATAATTTATTAATATATTTATATTAATATTATATTAATTATTATATAATTAAATATATATAATATTTTATATATTATTATTAAAATAATTATTTATATATTTTAAAATATTATTTAATATTATTATTTAAATATTATATTATTATATAATTTTTAAATAATTTTTTAATATTAATTTTATTAATTAATTAATTATATTTATATTATAATAAATTATTTATTAAAATATATTTTTTAAATAATATATAATATTTATATTATTAAATTATTATATTTTATATATTAAATATTTTTAATAAAATTAATATTATTATTTATATTAATATAATTTAATATATTATAAATTTATTATATTTTATATTTTTAATTTATATGATTTTATAATTTATATTATTTAATTTTTATATAATTAATTTATTTTATTTTATATTTTTATTATTATATAATATATATTTTAATAAATTATATATTTTTTATTTATTTTAAAATATTATTTATTAATAAATTATAAATATATTTATATTTATATATTTATATAATTTATTTTTAATAATATTAATATTAAAAAAATATATTTTATTATAATATTTATTTTTTTATAAATTTATATATATTATTATAATATTATTATTTAATTTTATTTTATTTTATATTATTTATTAAAATATAAATAATAATATTAATTATAATATTAAATATTTATATTATTATTTATAATTTTAATTATTATATTTTATAAAATAAATATTATTTATTTTATAATTATTTATATAATTAATTTTATTTATATTATTTATAATATTATAAATATTTTATTTTATTAATTTTATAATTATATAAATATTATTTAATATTATAAAATTATAATTATATTAATATAAAATATAAAATTATATATAATTAATATATAAAATATATTTATATTATAATTAATTATTTAAATAAAATTTATATTAAATATTTATATTAAATAATTTATATATTATTAATATTTAATTTATATTAAATTATTTTATAATATTATAATATATAATAAATTTATTATATAATTATAATAATTAATAAATTTATATTTTATTATTTAATATTTAAAATATATTAATATTATATATTATATTTAAAATAATATTATAAATTAATATTTAATATAAATAAATATTATATAATATATTTATAATATATAAATTTATATATATAAATTAATATATTAATAAATATAAATTATATTAATATTATATTAATATTAATATAAATTATATAATATAAATTAAATTATATAAATTATTAATATAATATAATTTATAATTATTATAAATTTAATTATAATATATATTAATATTATAATAAATTATAATAATTATAATTATATAAAATATATTTATATTAAATAATTAAATATAATTATTATAAATATAAATATATAAATATAATTTATATTAATAATTATATAATTAATATTAATATAAATATTAATATTATATAATATAATTATTATAAATAATATTATTATTATAATATTATAATATAATATTATAATATTATAAATAATTATATTATTATAATTAATTATAATATATTTATAATTATAAATTAATATTAAATATATTATAATAATTATAATATATTAATAAATATAAAATAATATAATATATTATTTATAATTATAATAATATTATAATTATAATTATAAATAATTATATAAATATTATTAATATAATTATAATAATATTTTATATTATATTATAAATATTATAATTAATATAAATATAATAAAATATATATATTAAAATTAATATAAATATTAAATAATATAATAAATTATATAAATATTATAATAATATATATTAATAATATTATATTTATAATATTAATAATATATTATTAAAATATAAATAATATTAAATATTATATAAAATTAATATTATATTTAATAATATAATATAATATTATAATATAATATAAAATATATATTATTAAATAAATTATATATTAAATATATATTATAATATAAATAAAATATATTATATATTAATAATTATAATTAATATATATAAATATTTATATAATATTATAATATAATAATTATATAAAATTAATATATATTAAAATTATTAAATAATATTATATAATATTATATAAAATAAATATTTAAATATAAATTAATTTATAATAATATAATAAAATTATAATATTATAATATTTAATAATATATAAATATATTATAATATATAATTAATATATTATAATATATTAATTATATAATAATTAATATAAAATTAATATTAATAAATAATATTATAATTATAAATTATAATATTAATAATATATTAATATATAAATAATTAATAAATATTATATATAATTATAATAATTAATATAATAATATTAATATATATAAATAATAATATTAAAATTATAATTATTTAATAAATAATATATAATTATATAAATAAATATATTAATTATAATATATTATAATAATAAATTATAATATAATAAATATTATAATAATTATTAATATTAATATAATATATATATAAATATAATATATTAATAATTTATATATAATATTAAATATTAATATTTATAATTAAATATAATATATAAATTTATAATATAAATATATTTATTATATATAAATATATATAAATTTTAATTATATTATATTATATATTAAATTTAATAATTATATAAATTAATATAATTATATAATATTAATATATTAAATAATATTTTAATAAATTATATATAATATAATATTAAATATAATAAATATTAAATTTAATATTAATAATATTATAATATATTATATAATTATATTTAATAATAATTATATAATAATATTTAAATATTATATTATAATATAATAATTATTTATAATATATAATTTATTATTATAATATATATTTAATAATATTATAATATAATTATAATATTTATTATAATTATATAATAAAT